GCAGGGGTGGGGGTTGGGGGATATTAGAGTGACGCGAATCGTGCTGCGACACATGTTGTACGTGAGATGGGGGAGGTTTAGATTATGGGCCACATGTCAGGAGGATGCAATACCAGTGAATTTCTACATGTATCTCTTTATTGGTGACGAATAAATGAAAACGTTCGCGTTCCAGGTATTTACATTGAAGAGGAAGAAGAGTTTTCGAGCACAGGATCAATTTGTTTATTGTTCTGAACTTTCGGGCTCTTGCGGGAATCCATTGTCAGAGACAAAAGCGTCGCACAGCTCGCAGCTGGGAGGTATTTTCCACACGAGAAGCGGCAACATTCGAACAAGTCCGTTTTCCCCATAAATGCCCTGATTGGCTCCTACCCCCCCCCATATACTTGTTGCCTGTTTTTCGTGAACGCATTTGTCTCTGACGATGGACTCCCGCAAGAGACCGAAAGCTCAGAAGAATAAACAAAGTGATCTGGTGCTCGATAACCCTTCTTCTTCCATCTTTATTGGTTATTCGATCCCGAAAATGTCAGTTGTAACAAGCGGACACGTCTGATGAGTCTCCAATGCTTTTATTTAGATGCACTTTCCAAAATCTAGAGTAGGGTTTTCCCATGGCAGACACACCGATACTGCGTTCCTATATTTTTATTGTATTTATTATGCCTTATAAATAATAACGTCTGAAAATATCTGTTTACCTCGTTCTTTTTATCTCAAACGTTAATTAATGTAATGCTAATTGCAAACATTTTATCCCCAATATTCGTCCACGCACGCGTAATTTGGGTGGCCGATAGCTACCGTCACTTAAGTACTGGTTTGATATTATTCTGAGAACTCCACTTCCATTTGTTGGTGAAAAAATAGGCCAGCCCGGAATTTATGGCAGTGTGGCGAACAGTGCTGACTTAAGAAGTCGAAGGGACCGCCGTTGTCAAGGGCGCCATTCCCAGTCTGATGTACTCCTCACTCGAAAAAGTCTTTTACTTTTTGCATAGCAGCCATGAAGTATCTTTTTTTTGCAACC